CTCCGGGCCGGGCGAAGGCCCCCCCCCCCCCGTGCCCGCGCGCTCCCGCGCCCGCTCCTTACCCAGTTTTGCCAAATTCTGCGCTTCCACGCATGCGCAGGACGCATACAGCGCCTGCACGATCCTCCAGGAGCAGCTGGAGCATCGCACAGATGCTAGTACGCATGTGCGTGCGCGCGAGGACGCCGCCGGCCTCGTTCCAACCGAACCGGTTGGAACGGGGCGAGAAACTCACCCCTGCACAGTTAGTAAGAATAACGGAGTTGGAAGGGACTTTGGAGGTCTTCTAGTCCAACCTCCTGCTCAAGCAGGAAACTTCATACTATTTCAGACAAATGGTTGTTCAATTTCTCCAGTGATGGAGGAGGACCCACAACCTCTGGTGGCAAGCTGTTCCACTGGTTCATGAATGTCAGGAAATTTCTCCTTCGTTCTCTCCTTAGAGAGATTCTCCCCTCTTAAGAGAAAAAACGAGTTGTTAAGTGAATCGTGCGGTTGTTCAGTGAATCTGGCTTCCCTTATTGAAGGTCGCAAAAGGGGGTGCCATGACCCAGGGAAGCGGCCACCATCATAAAAGCAGGCCAGTTGCCAAGCTTCTGAATTTTGATGACGTGACCGCAAAGATTCCACAAATAGTTGGAAACGGTGAGAACCAATCGCGTCACATTTTTTCAACAGCGTCGTAACTTGGAATGACGGCTAAATCGGGGCTCTCCAAACTTGGCAACTTGAAGTCTTATGGCGATGATGGCGAACCTGTGGCATGCGTACTGGAAGTGGCACATAGAGTCATCACTCTGGCACGCGAGCCATCACCTGTTGCTCTTCCGGGTCCTGGCGCACCAGCTCCCACCTCCCACACACATGGGAGCGCCAAAACCTGGAAGAGCATCCACACCGGGGAGATTATCTTCTGCTTTCTGGCGCGCATATGTGCGCCGGCCGGCTGGTCTTCGCACACACATAAGTGACAGAAAGAAGAGAACCAGGTGGCCGGTGTGCATGCATGCGCTGGGAACCAGAAGATCATTTCCCCCGCACACGCATGTGCACCAGGCGGCTGCTCTTCTGTTTTCCAGCACGCACATGCGCAGCCCCGTTTCGGCACTCGGTGCTAAAAAGGTTCGCCAACATTGTCTTATGGATTTCCAATTCTCCTCATTTCCTAAGTCAAGCTGGCTGTGGAATTCTGGGAGTTGGAGTCCACAAGTCTCAAAAGTTGCCAAGTTTTGGAGAGTGTGGGCTCAAAGGATGGTTGTAAGTCGAGGACTGCCTGTATGTGGAAAAGATTTTGGGAGTCACAACTACCATATTTTTCGGAGTATAAGACACTCCAAAGTATAAGACCCACCTAGCTTTTGGGGAGGAAAACAAGGGGGGGGGGAATCTGCCTCCCAGCAATTTGCCTCCTTGCAACAAACAGCAAACAGTA